TCATTGACAGGGAAAAAATTATATTAGTACAAAACGTAGCAACAGTGCGGGTGCTGTTCTGGTCTTCGTTCTCCGTATCTTGTTTGTATGACTGTGCCGAGCGTCCCGCAATTTGTACAGCCTGTAAGAGGAAAGGGAATGAAAGGTGGTTGTCAACGACAGTTTAACATTCAATTACTAGGCTTCAGTCAGTTTCAGTTTCACGCAACACTGCGACGACGGAGATTATTTTGATGACCGACAAAACGTACTTGACACCTGTTTCGTTCGGTATTGGACTCACCAACAGTGATTACTTTGTGTCCATGTCAGGACTCGAACCATGAACACTTGGGTCTTGACTTCAAACCCTTCCCCTGAGCTACACGATCGACGATCATCAGCCTATATGAATGGCCCAATCAGTTTAGATGATCACTATTTGGATTAACTGTCCGGTGCTCTTTTTGGTTATCACAAACATTTCACCACATTTAAATGCATTCGACTAGTGGGTGATTAACGATCTCTCAAGGAGTAAAAATCATATCGAACATCATCCACAATGCCTGTGAAAAATAGAATGGGTTAATCCAAGCTTGCTACTCTAAAATTGATTGAGGCATTCGCCGACCATGCAGATCAGGGTTTGAAGTCCCAAACCGAATGTTCGCGGTTTGAGTCTTAACAGGGATACCAAAAGGACGCACTGTTGACGAGTCCCAAACAGGACCCGGAAACAGCTACCCAGTGCTCTTTGTCGATCATCATAAAGATTTTCAGCACATTTAAAAAATATGCTTTCAGAGGTGGGTATTTTTATCCTTACGCTTATAATAAACCGTGGCTTGGTCGGATTCAAAAGAGATTAGCGCTTCGTGAAATTAGTAGACCTTCGATTAGGCATCTTATGCCACAAACACAACCACCGCTACTCATTTATACTACCAATCAGCTCCGACCTTATTGACATTCCCTTATTATTTTTATTCACAGCGACACACTGTGGGAGTCTTTTCCTGTTCAACCTAAACGCACAAAATACTTTCATCATATTATTCTGGACTCAATCCACCCTCCTGCATCCCCGCTTTGTAACCCATCACAATCTTATGCATTTGAAAAAAAATTCAATAATTTTAACATGCGTTGATTCAACTGGATGAAGTTGTATTTCTTTCTGTTGGTAATGATTCAAAGAATGGCCTTTCCATATGAATCTATCAACTCAATGCTCCCCTCAAGTTTTGACTAAACCACCAATGATCAAAATGAGAGAAATTTCAGTGAAGCATTCATCTACCCTCATTTCGTCTGGCAATCTTGAAAACTTTTCCTTTGCGTTTATCTACCTGCAATCTAATAGACTCTAGTGTTATCTTTGTGCGAATCCATTTGTATTGCAAATCCATCGGGTCCATTCGGACTTAGAATTCTGGACCTGTTTCATGGACGGTATCCATGTGTTGGCCATCATTCGTCGACGTTGACCAGAATTTCTACTTCAATTTTGCTTCAGTTAGTTTACTTGGCTGATAGCTACGAAATCAAGCACAGGATATTATCTTGCACATATGATTAAAAAAGCATTCCACCAAATCAGATCTTCGAAACAGACAATAGGCGAGCACTCCGCAAGTAAACCTGCCAAACTATGTACTATTGAAATTCTAACTCACTGTTCGTGGCATTAGACAATGAAACTAAATCAACGCAACTTATATGACACCACTACTCACCTGCAACTGTGAGTTGAAAACGGAAATCACGTATTCCCAAGCCCTCTGGGCATAAGTGTCACAATGGTATCTAAAACACGCTGGTGGGTTTGTTCTGCACCAATCAGGAGATAGAACAAGCAATTTGCTTACAGTTAATCAGTAATCATTAGAACCAGAGTGACTAGATGGACAATGACTATCAGGTTTCACACCTAGCCGAAGTAGAATCACACTGTGGATGTGTCCTTGGCTTTACGCCCCCTGTATAAATTTCGTGG